TTATTTAGGGTGATTTTAAAAATAATTTTAAATAGAGACACAGCTTCTAATATTCGGTTTTTTAATCTGGTTTTACAGGGGTTTGTATTTTTATGCTTTGTATTTGTACTGTTTTTAATACGCTGTGCACCGCCCTGAGTCCTGCGGGAGAAGGGCGGTATATAAATTAAATTAATAAATAAATAATAAATAAATAAATAAGGTACCTAGAATATTTTAAAGCAGGTCCTCTCAGAGTGAGCAATGGTAAGAGCTCCCAATACAAGAGAATGGTGGTGGGGGGGGGGGAGAAAGGCTTTAAGCTGAATCACAGCAAACACAAAATGTTGAGGGTTAAACAGCTTTTGCCAAGCTTGAAACAGGCTGCTTTAATCATTTTGAATGTCTGTCTATGTGAAATGCTCACAACATTATTCAAAGCAGTTTTTACTTAGGTTGAGACATTTCATACTTAAATGTACTTTAATTAAAAACATTTCCCAATGGAAATGTTATCTCTAAGCACTAGATTAATTTTAATTTACTCTTCCCAGTTTGGAAAGGCACAGAGCAGACCAAGCACGAAGAGATAAAATATCTGCTCCCCATATTGGCAAGGCCTTCAAGTATCATATCCCCAAAACCTGGCTTCATCCAACCATCCTTGTTCCCTCATGGGAAAGGCATGGCTGGGTAATGTACCAGGGGAATAATGGCTTCAAGACATCAGAACTAAGTGATTACAAGAAAGGCTTCATTTCACGCACATGTGACTATAAAAAGATCATCCCTATCAAATAAAAATACAGTAAAAAGATTGCCTCATAGAACTAGATAGACTAAGAAGATTAATAGGATACAAGGGAGCTTATGATATGTTAGTATTAGTATGAAATACAACAGTATTGTGTTTCCTCACTGTATATATATATAGCATTTTTAAAGCCAAGCACTTTAAAAGGGAGGGAGGGAAGGAAGGAAGCCGTGAGGCCGCAGTGGTTAGAGTGCCGCATTGCAGGCTGACTCTGCCCACAGCCAGGATGTTCGATCCTGACCGGCTCCAGGTTGACTCAGCCTTCCGTCCTTCCAAGGTCGGTAAAATGAGGACCCAGATTGTTGGGGGCAAATAGGCTGACTCTGTAAACTACTCAGAGAGGGCTATAAAGCACTGTGAAGCGGTATATAAGTCTAAGTCAGTGGTTCTCAACCTGTGGGTCGGGACCCCATTTGGGGTCGATCGACCATTTCACGGGGGTCGCCAAGCAAGGCTGTCTGCCATTTTTTCCCCCTTTTCCGGCGGGTGCCTTACCTCCCTTGGGCTGGGCCAGCTGGTGGTCGGCCTGCTCCGTCTCTGCCGCTTGCCAGCTACGCCTCGGCCGGCACAGGGGGCGGAACCACGCATGTGCGGCGCTCCCGGGCAGGGAAAGTCCTCGACTTACGACCGGTTGGGTAGTCCTCGACTTACGACCGGTTTAGTCCTCGACTTACGACCGGTTTAGTCCTCGACTTACGACCGGTTGGGGGTCGCGGCATTAAAATGGTTGAGAACCACTGCCCTACTAGAAGAAGCTATGCCAAGGATAACCAACATATCTATGCCTGCTCCATATACTTTACCCTGTGACAGAAGCTGTGATATTATAGGTTCCAGGCACCAACAATCTGTAATAGTCACCAAACTGTCCAGTTGTAATGTTGTGAGCAATCCCGGCCACCGCAATGGTTGCATTTTCCAAGGCAGCCCCAGTGACCAAATCTCTCACAAATCCTTTAATTCCAATGTGTACCTGTATTAAATAAATGGGAATTAAATCCAGAACACGTTGTAAATTTTTTTAGTATCATGAGGCTACATTATTCCTCTCATATTCAGTAACTTATTAATTTCATGCTAAGCGACCTGTGCAATGTTCTTTTTCTCTCTCATCCTCGGAAAGTTACAGGGTGCTGTTAAGTTTGTACATAAAAAAACAAAATGAAATAAAGGGATAGAACAAGGAAAAATTGGCAAAGAACAGCACAACTTTTACATAACTAGAGCAGCTAGGCAACAGCGCCAGAAAGAACGAACATCTGCATTAATCTTTAGATGGAATGAAACTTGTGAAGCTGCTATAGATTTTATCAGCTCTGCTTGCAGTTTTAGATTTCTTCTGCTATAACTAGGGGACTGTTTCTGCCGTAGCTACTGAAACAGAACACAGGCGATCTTTCAAAACCAAAATGCCAAGAAAAACAAGAGGACAGTTGTGTGTTTTTTGAGTCATGCTGGTAAAAACGAAAGATGAATCAACTCGGTCCAATTTTACAGAAAAACATGCCATTTTTGCGCACGGCTTCACTCAAAACAGCTGGTGAATTCACGTGGCTTTAGAATATAAAATTATGTTCAAGAAGGTACGCAAAGCGCATCCTTATTTTATTGCCGTGGCGATTGACAGGAACTTCAAGAGAAATTAATGTGGAAACTGGCAAGCATAAAAGGGAATGTTACATTAAAATATTTGTTATCTAATATTATGTTACTTGGTAGGGATTTCATATGCAGCAGTTGTCTTTCTTCATCCTGTCATTTCTCCTTTGATGTGACATAACTACCTAATGATGGGTTCTCATTTTATATTTTGCTGGTATTGGATATATCTTGTTTCCATTTCATAAAAGAGCTTGAGACAGAGTATGTATTAAGAAGTAAAGTGAAAGAATTTCCTCCACAACTAGAAGACTGAGGAAGGTGTCAATAAATTTATGGCCAATTGCTGCGTTTTATGTAAGCCAACTATTGATTTACGAGGACAAGGCCTGAAAGCATCAACAGAGTCCTGGTGGGAAATATACAATACTATGACGTTTATTTATTTATTAAATTTTTATCCCACCTTTATTTCTTTATAAGTAACTCAAAGTGGCAAATGTACATAAAAATTCGCCTCTGGCAAGATGGGTAGCATACAAGTTTGATATTTCTCCTCTTTTTCCCCACAACAACAACCCCATGAGATGAATTGGGCTGAGAGAGAGGGCGTAAAGTCACCCAGTTGGCTTTCATGCCATATCAGGACTAGAACTCCTAATCTCCTGGTTTCTATGCCAGCACCTTTAACCACTAAACCAAACTGGCTCTCTTTAAGTAAACTCTTTAAATTTAAATGGAAAAGCATTTGTGGAAATATTCAGCTAACAGAACCGTGGAAGAGGGAGCAAAGGATAAGATATCAACTTTTTAGACTTTAGTGCGTTTTATGCACGGTTCTCAATATTTCAGTACGACATGAAAAAGGGAACAGGTTATATACATGACCAATACCCTGGCAGAGTGAATTATCAGAACAAGTTTGGGCAGGTTTCATATGCTGCTGCAATACATGCCTTAAGCCATTGGGTTTAAAAATAAAAACCTTCTCCTCAGGGAACTTAGATGAAAGAAAAATATTTCCATGCCAAAAGGATTTCAGGCAACAGGTTTAGAAACTGAGTGCTGCTCTCAGTGTGTGACAGAGTGACTAATTCTCTGAGTAATGGTGATAACAGTGACAA